AGACTCGTGAACATTGAAAGTTACTCCATTAAATGTGGAAAACAAAGAAAGATGGACAATTTTTTATGAAATAAATTTTGTTTCAGTTTGTAGTATTGTATATTTATGTTATATAAATGTGATATGTAGATGTTTATGAAATAAATATAATTGATGAATAAATTATTTTACATAAAACAAAACAATTTTATGTTATCTTTATTGAACTGTTATCCATCATAACTATTATTATTATTATATCCATTTGCTACATTATCTGACTTCCTATACAGTATATTAACCATTATGCTCAACCCCTGGGAAAAGCAACTGGCAAAGCTTGAACTTGGTCATTCCTTATCTGGTTATTGATCCTTTGAATAATGACTTCCTGTCAGATGTGACTTTTTTTTTTTATCTTAGCAGATAGATTGGTCATATCTAAGAGGAACTACTGAATGCACCTTTTTTTGACAAGCTTTATAAGTGAAGTGTCTTATATAAAACATTGTCTTTTTGTTTAGGTTTTTGAATTTCTAATTTATAGACAGACACAGGACCTGGTGTTTTGTAACCTTTAAGTAATTTAATATTCTAAAGCAGATAAGTAAGTTAAAAATCTTGATGCACAAATTAAGATATCTGAAATTTTTAATACACTTTTATGGTACCTTTTTTAACTACAGACTTGGAAATTGGTTATAACTTTTGATTTTAGTGATTCTGCAGACCTATAAAATACATAGTAATTGTGAATGAGAAGTGTAAAGATACCCATTTAGTCAGAGCCAATCTCGGTTGTGTTCAATTCCTTTCTAAACTACTAGAACTTTGTAAAATATTCATAGCATCTGACATCCTTTACAAGTATATTTGAGTTATATATTTAGTTTTACAACAGTAATTCTGGGTGAAGATATGCTTGAGGTTTGCTTGAGTTATTTTCCTTTTGGAAAATAGAGAGTTTGATAAGACAAAATTTTTTTCATTTTCAAGTTTTGATATAATTGGTGGGGCCAACACAGATAGCCCATTGTGTAGCTTTGGCTTTCCAACAAACAAACAAACCATATTTAGTGTACGAAGTGAAGTTTCATATCTGTATTTTAATTACAGAATGGGAACGTACTATTTATTACCTGTATTGATCTCTGTACAAAAAAAATATGCCACTGTAAACAATCTAAGATATACATAAGCTGCAAATTAAAGTTTATGAACTTACAAGCTTTGTTAATTTGATGTTCTAATGGTTTTTAATCCTACTTTCTGTAGTATTTGTTATTACTTATTTTTTTCATGGAACATTATTGGTGAGACTAGCATATTTAGCAAATTGAGTACCAAATTGTATTATTTGTCATAAAATAGGGTCAATCATTCAGTCATAATGAAAGCTCAACAGATAGTCCTCAAATAACTCCTCCAGGTACACCACCCCGTTCAGATCTAATATGTGATGGTATGGAAATTGTGGAAGATGAAGATACATGTCAGGAAGAGGTAAGTATTTGTTTGTTTGATTTGAGAATGTTTTTTTTAAAATATTTATTTTTATAATTTTGTGATGGTGAAGTGAAAATCCTTTCTTATCTATCTTAGTGAGTGTGGTCTTTTTGCACCAGACTTTCACATATGATATTTAATTAGCTATAGGTAGTACAAAAAAGGGTTAGTTAATACCAAGATAGAAAA